TCGGGCTGCGAACCTTAAGGTCAGCGGTTCGAAACTACCAGCCGCTCCGCGGGAGAAAGATGAGGCTTTCTACTCCCGTAAAGATTTACACCCTCGGAAACCCCGCACAGGGTCGCTATGGGTCGGACCCGACTCGATGGCACTTAACAACAACAACAACAAGAGCTGGAGAGCAAACTTGTTAAAGAAGGATGTGTGCTTGTATAGGTGTCTGCAGACAGGCCCATCGCTCCTGGTTTCATTCCATCTCGCCCTTCCACCCTGGTCAGGTCCCCACGACAACTTCCTCCCAGCTCCTTTCATAAAATGACTCAAAAGAATTCTTGTTGACCTATTTGCCTCTGAGCCTCAGTTTCCCCATCTTGGGAGGAAGCTGGACCAGATGACTTCCTGGCCCGACCTCCCTTTCAGGCTTCACCTGGCAGGACTCACATTTCCTGCAGTCCGGTGGAGGAGGGGTGGGGTTTCTTCTCATACCCAGCCTGTCGCGCCCTGGCAGGAGGCTCCGGAAGCGGGGGAAGCGGGCAGTGTGGGAGCAGGCGGCGGCCCGGCGCCGACCCGACCCCTGGCCCCAGCCCGGCGATGTTGCGGGGCAGGTCACGGCAGCGAGGCGGAGCAGGCGAACGAGCGCCTGCACGGGCGCTGCTCCCGCCCGGGCGAGCATGCTCGGCGGCCGGCAGCCCGGCGACGCAGAATAGTACCGCGCGCGGCGATTAGCCGCTCTGGCCCGGCCCAGAGCCCCGACAGCCCCGCCCACCCCACCCACCCACGAAGCGGAGCCTGTTGCTAGGTGCTGGGAGCCACCAAGCAGTGGTCCGCTGTCCCACCAAGTGAGAGGATGTGGCCTATCCAGGATCTGTGCTGAGGCGGCTAAGAGGTTGCCAGGCCTTACTTGACAAGAACTATAGGGCGCTGCCTTTAGTGTTGGGGCTATGGTAGGGGATGGACAGTAATGGGTGGCTGCCACCTCTCTAAGTGCTCATCCACAGGGGGCCAATCATGAAACAAGGTGAGTTCAATGTCACCTCAGTATAGGGTAAATGAAGGATGTCCGTGTTTAATGACAACGTTGGTGCTACTCAGACATTTCTGAGGTGTTTGCACACCAGCTTTTATCAGACTTAGCTTTCAAAGTTATTAGGTACAGATGAGCCTGCACTTCTCCGCTATTAGCCCAGCAATACCTAACTAGCCGTTTTAGCAAGCCCCTTTCAGATTATGACAAAGTCACCCCAGAGTTCTGTCATTCAATCCTAGATTCCATGTTTCTATGACTCCTGTGTTTAGGTCCTTTAGTGAAAGGTGAGGTGTGTGCATTTCCTAATGCGTGCCTAACACCCTGATTTAGAGGCTTTTATTAGCGTCTGACCAAATTATGTTCCCAACCTTTTAAGCCTTCATTTCTTAACCCTAAAACTGCTAGCTTTAGTTCTGGGAATATGGCTAGAGATCTCACAGAACCCCTGAAACTGCTCCAAGGACCCTTAGGCATACAAAAGAAAAATAGACACTGATCAACTTACCTGTTATGGACAGTAGGATGTACATTAAAACCTACATGGAGATCTTGGATTAAATAATAAATTGGCATTCTGTAGTGATCAAATGTCTATTAAATGGTCTGCAACAGCTCCCTTGAGTTTTATCAAGACCATCCACTTGGCTTTAACCCCAATTTCAACATTCTTTTCCATCTCTTTGACTTTCTTTTATGCATATTGTTCTCTAGTACCAGATGTCCAATTTTTATTTTTAAAAAAACCCTCAATCTTTTCAGCATGAACCTATCTCCCCAGCAAACCAGTTACCAGAGCAGTTCTAGCTCATGTAGACCTTATGTTGTCAGAGACTGTGCTCCGTAGGATTGGCAATGGCATTCTGGGAAGTAGATCATGAGACCTTCTGTGGCACCTCTAGCTAGACTTTAACCTTCAAACCAAGTGCAGCAATCACTTGTACCATTCTGGGACTATTCTTTTATTATTTATCATACACTTTAATTATTTGGGTACAACTTGTCACCTTTTCCCAAGTCTTGCCCATAACAGACACTGAAGATAAATCTTCTCTCAGGCCTTAAGACTCTTAGGTGGTGGTAGTGTGATGTTTTGTGGAGTTGGTTCTGACTTAGCAACCCTAGATACGGTTTCTTTATGCAAGCAGAAAGCCTCATCTTTCTCCTACATAATTTTCAAACTACTGACCTTGAAGTTAGCAGCCCAACTCATAATCACTACACTATCAGAACTCCTTAGTAAATTTAATTCTGCTCAATGACCCTATCTATCTCCAGGAGCCTATACGATGAAATTGAGTCCTCCACGGTTAAAAAAAAAAAAAAAAAAAGATCATAATTGCAACACTAATCCCCACTCCTCTCCTTTCATTAATCCTTTATCGCCAAACACTCATACTCAACGTGCCAGGAAAAGATTCAAAATTTCTAAATGGCTCTTCCCTTAAGAGGATACTCATCAAAAAAGTTCCGCCATGTTGTAAGTGCTGCAACACACTAGGCCATGTTGTAAGTGCTACAATACTAAGAACACTTAAGCCTTTTATATTAGAGAGGGTCTGGGGAAAGCAGAGATAGTAAATGGGAAAAGGTCAGATTAGTAAGAAATACTACTATTAAGAAAAATAGGGTTATATGATGGGATGTGTCAGTGAAGATCTCTAATAATCTGTGCTGAGACCAGAATGAAAAAGAAATCAAATCCACAGATTAGGGGCTAAGAATTCCACACACAAAGTTTAGCAAGTGCCAAGACCCCACAGCAGAAGCATGCCAGTTTTTAAAGTAACAGGGGAAGGGGAAACAAATTAAAGGGTGGTAAGAGCCGCTGGATGCAAAGAAAGTTAAAGCAGAAAAAATTGTTTTGGAAAAGATCACTGGCTGCTATGGCAAACAGAGATCAGGTAAAGGAAACCAGCTATGAATCTACTGGTTGGTGAGACAGCTACTTAAAGGATAGGAGACACAAGCTGTCATATGGGGGAACCTACAAACTGGAATATGCTAGGGCTGCCTTTGTTTTTCCAGGTCTCTCAAGTTTTCTGCCTTTAACAGGGTACCATCTTACCACTTTTCTATCACTGCTTTTAGTAGAAAATATTTGGGGTTTCCCTAAAAATCCATAAATAGGTTCCAGATTTCACAGGTTTTGTAGTACACGCAAATAATATCTTTGTAGGAGACAGAATGGCCTCCCCAAAATATCCACACCTTAATCCCTGACTTGTGACTTCCATGGCACATCTGTGACTTCAGATACACTTTAACTAAGGATACTGTGATATGAACATCCAGTGAAATCCAATGTAATCACATAAATTCTTATGAGGCACATAGATCAGTGTTTGAGTAAGTGAATGAAAAACAGAAGTTAGCACTTTATAAAATGAAGGGGCAATGATCCAAGGACTATAAGCAGCTTCTACAAGGCAAAAATGCAAATAGATTCTCTAAACCCTCCAAAAGGGCCTGCTGACATCTTGATTTTAGTTCAGTGAAACTGACTTTGGACTATTGAACTCAAGAACTGAGAATAAATTTGTGTTGTTTTAAGCCATTTAAAAGTTTGTGATACTGTTTTAACCGTAGTTAACTAATGCATAGAGCAGGAGCCCTGCTAACATAACTATAGCACCTAGCCCTTTCCCAAAGGATTCTGCATTCAATTTACACCATTATCTTAATGAGTTTTGCATCCTTGAGGGACTAAAATATTGTTCCTTTGAAAAGCTCATTTTAGATCCAAAATGAAGCCTGAAAGGACTGACTAAAGTGAATTGTTAAATGCAGTGGAGTCAGTTCTGGCTCATAGCAACCCTGTACAGGGTTTCCCAGGAGCAGCTGGTATGTTTGAAACAATGACCTTGTGGTCTAGTACTTATTCTACAGTGCCACACCAGGACTCCCACAAAAGCCACTGATGGCCCTCATTATTTCACTTAGCCAAACAGGCTTGAACATCATCTGAGCCACTGTTAGCTTTCATGACACAAAAGCACATACAAGACAATCTAGCATACATTCTCGTCATCTTCCTTCAAAGACTACGAGGCCTAATCCTTATATTCTACTAAACCAGTTAAACAAAATCAAAGAAAAATTCAAAACTTATGCTCTTTGGCTCCACCTAGAGATTAAGTCCCGGTGTGGCGCTATAGGATAAGCACTAGTCTGCTAACCACAAGATCCGAGTTCAAACTCATCAGCTGTTCCTTGGAACCAATTCAATGTCATTTAAAAAACATTTTTAACAAATGTATCTCTCTAACTCATTAATACTATAGAAACTCACTAAGCCAAAAAACTTGCCAATACAAAAGCTGAAAAACGTAATCTATTTACCTAGCAACTTTCAAATACTAAAAATTAAGGCATTCTAATGTGACAGTGCCAAAAGAATTCACAGCATGTTCACATTGCATAACACCCTTGGCACAATCAACAGACCATAAAAAAACCTTTGAGATTGTATTGACTCCATGCTATGTATTTTACACCTAAATTTCAGTTCACTAGTCTGGATGATGCAGAGAATATACAGGAATGTGATTTATAAAAATACTAAAATTATGCTGTCCAAGCTTTTGCTAATAAACTTCACTGCCAAGTGTAAATTATGCAACAAAATAATTTCTCCTAAGTGCGTTTTCTTCTGATTATACATAACAAAGGATGCAGCAACAAAAAGCTTGACATTAACTTAAGAATCATGCACAAATGCCTGTGAATTGGGCATGAGGCTTTAAGATACCCATATGACACAATTCAAAGTCCAAAACCAGGAAAAAAAAGAAAAAAGAAAAGAAAAGAAAAAAAAAAAAAAACCTGTAGAGGAATCCCTGTAATAAACTTTCTCACAAGATACAAAGTTGACCCTAGGTTTAGAAGCAATGGACTGTTGATTTGGCTAAATTTTATTACACACCAAGATTTATCATAATTAAAGGGGGGAAAGGACAGGTTAACAAAAGTTGCCAATACAACAATTTCAATTTGAGAACGTTCACTGTTTTATTAGCTGACCAGATTACAAAAATAATCATGGTAGATACCTGAAAGGGAAAAAGAAAAAGTCAAACAAATGACTTTAACAGCTAATAATGTATTTCACTTCAGACAACTGTAAAAATGGGCTTTTGGTTCCCAACAGAAATGCCCACCAATTTAAGTAATTTAACAGTTTTTACTTACTAAAAACATTAAGACTAAAACCCAACCCAAATCAATATTTAATGCAGGTAAGTATCCAGGACTATCAAATAATCTTCTCTCAGGATGCAGTCTCTCACCTTAGTTCATCCTTCTAATAAGCCTGTTGATCTGGTCTTCCCTGTTGCCAGCATCTCCACCTTCTACAAAATGGGTGGTTTTTTTCTTCATCCCACCACGAGGAGAAGATAATTTGAAGGGCCACAGGAAGTTATTTGCTTCTTTGAAACGTTTCCCAACGGTGTAGATCTCATGAATCAGATCCTCCATGCAGATGATCCCATATTTACCTGGAAATTTTAAGGCACTCAAATGACTGTCAATTACATACAGGCTGTGAGATTAAAAAAAGTAAATTAAGAGTAAAAACAAGGGAAGAAATGCATGGCTTTATTAACTAAGATCGGCGTTAAACCAAAGAACACACCATGTTTTCCTTAGACTTAAATATTGTAGAGAATATATAAGTGATAGTGTTCAAGGGGAAATTTGCAGGGCCACAGAATCCCAGAAAAAACATCTCAGTCTGATATCAAACTTTTTCCCTAAATAGGCAGAACTTACCAAGAGAACGTGCAATCAATGTGTTATCTGTCAGGGCAATTCGTTTCTTATTGATTTTGCCATATCCACGCTTGTAGATCAGTTCATTCACTGACTTCAAGTTTGGGTACCTGAATGTAAAATGCAGACATAAATGAACAAAGAATAAGGATCTGACTTATAGAGACCCTATATAAGGTTTCTGAGGCTGCTAATCTTTACAGGGATGAGAGCTCCTTGTTTCTCCGGAGAACAAATGGTGGGTTTGAACTGCCAACCTTATGGTTGGCAGTCCAGAGCTACCATGGCGCCTTAAGAATTATGATTGTGAAAGCTAAAATTTCTTTTCCTATGTAGCCAATTTGACAATAAAACATTACTAAACAATGGTTACAACTTACCCCCATGCAATATATGGTTCCACAATCCTCAACATGTTAATTGAAGCCTTGTTGAGCTTAACAAAGGTGCCATTGAAGATTTGGCGAAGGCGAAGAAGCTGCAACACCTTTCGAACCTTTGGGCTCACACCATTGATACTGATAATGAGAAGGGAAAAAACACTCTATTTGATCTTTATCAGAATTTTCACTAATCAATTATAAGAAATTTAATCATTGTAATTTTGGAAAGACAAGTCCCACCTAAATAGTTATGAATCCTCTCATGTCACAAAACTACTGGAGATTTTCTTTTAGTTACCCAAATTCTCTCCCCAACTTCTTTCAAGCAAATCTTTTTCTGACTCCCTTACCTTGTCCTCATTCTGTACCTATCTAATATTATTAGTTTTAAGCGTTGTAATTGTACTTTAGTTACTTCTGAAGGTGATAAGTGCTTTCAAGTTGATCCCAACTCATAGCAACCATGTATAAGGTTTTCAAAGAGCAGCTGGTGAGCTTGAACCACTGACTGACCTTACAGCCCAGCGCATTATCTCACAGCGTAACCCCAGGACTCCTAGTCTCCATGAAACTAAGCATCCATCCAGAGGCAAGATAGGTGCCTTGTTCCCAGTTTTGCAACTAGACCATTGGTTGCTGTTAAGTGCCTTCGGTTCTAACCCATAGCGACCCTGTTTCTGAGGAGCAACTGGTGAGCCTGAACCACAGACTTTGCATTCCTGTGCATTAACCCACAGCGATACACCAGAACTCTATTAAAAATGCTAACTCCTTTTTTTATCTACCTCAGGTATTACATTTCTGAATCAAGCCTCAACAAGCACTGTGAAGTTGTAACTTTCCTAAGACCAAAACGAAATGTCTTTAACAGAATAAACATGGAACTTACCCTCTGATCCTGATAACAAATGCCAGCTTGGGCTCACCAGGTACATAGAAGTTGCCCGCTTTTCTTGCCATCCTAGCCATTCGAATCTCAGTTCTGTACATCTGCCTATATTCCTTGTGATAGTGCTTGGCTTTTTCATAGATAAGCTTCCTCCTTGCTTTTTGAAGCTGAAACAAGTATCTGTTATTCAACTGACTTTATCAAAACAAAACACAACTAGCAGTAAGAATCTTTAATACCATTCCAAAGAGCAGATACTAACACCTAACTTAACAAACAACCTTTCATTTGAGAATGCCCCAGTAAAGACCTAAGCAATCCCACGAGCGAAGCAATGAGCACTCCTTCTCAATGTTGACGACCAGAGCGCTTCTTACAGAGTTGTTGGTGTTAAGTGCCATCTTACATAGTTAGGTGCCTCAAAAAAGAACACTCACCATCTTTTGGGCAAACTTCTTTCTCAGGCGCTTGATCTTTAGTTCTGCGAAATTCCGTCGCTTTTTCTTCAGGGTCTCTGGCACAGCAGGAACCTTCTTCTTCTTCTCTCTGACGTTGGCACACAGAGAATGTTAGCAATAGCTCAAAAAGCTCACTCCCTTCTAGAAAGATCACAGGGTGGTTTAACAGAACCATGCCACTGGCTCACACTAATTGTTTTATCTTTAAGTTGCAGGCCGTGTTCTCTCCACGTCAACAACGGGCCCTTTTATGAAGAGGGCAATCACAAACTTAGGTCTGCTGCTCAGCACCGGCCTCCATACTCTAGTAAAAACAGTCCACAGCGAAATATCAGAATTCATTATGTCTGAAAGGGCGCTGCGAGATGCGGGTGCCTACACTGTCAACGAAAGAAGGCCTAGGAGTCAGAAAAACCAACCCTGGTTCTAGTCTCGAAATCCCACATGTAATAGGTACAGGCCTAGTGATGGCAGGGTCGTCTGGCCGAATGCCAGCCTAAGAACGAACTAAATCCTTAAGCTCCGCGCACGTGGCTCAAAAAGAGCGTCTACCGAAGACTGGATCTTCACCTAACCAACTGGTCTGCACATAGTCGGTTCTCAACTTCCCGTTCCCTGTTACCTCCAACACCTCAACTCCAAGGCCGCCCGTATCCCGCCTTAGCCCGGGGTCCCACTAGTGTCATAGAGCGTCACAAATACACAGACAAAGGGGCAAAAGCACAGGCTACAGTCAGATAAGGGAAAAGTGAGACAAAAAGGCCCTGGTCATGAAGATGGAGAAGGATTCTCAAGCAGGAAGGAGCAACTTACTCGACAACCTCCATGGTCCCAGCCGGTTAAAAAAAAAAAGGAAGTTGGCGCCTGCGCACTGTCCGCTTAAAGACAGCGAGAGTGAAGCCCCACGGTCTATGGGTGTCTAAGGATAAGCCAGAAAAGAAACCACAACTGAGAACCCGTCTTCCAGACACAAAGTTAAGAACTGCTCGGCTCAGCCTTTTCTGATCAAACTTCAGGTAAAATATATACACTGATTAGGCTCTTAAATCAATATGACAAGAGCAAAGAGTGCTGACACCTTAATTACTTGGGGTCCTAGTTAGGGCCGTGCTGACAACACTGCGCTGGATTCCACCTTGTATTGCATCCAAAAGGAGCCCTGGTGGCACAATGGCTAAAGAGTTTGTTTGCCAAAGGTCGGTGGTTTGAACTCATCAGCCACTGCATGGAAAAAAGAGGTGGTCGTGTGCTTCCGTAAAGATTTACAGCCTTGGAAACACCATGAGGCAGTTCTACTATGCCCTAACAGGGTCACTGTATTAGAATTTACTCGTTGGCGACGGGTTTGGGTTAATGTACGCAAATGACATGCCACCGGATTGAGAACTATAAATCCCGGCATGCAGTATTTCTATTGCCCACCGGTCGGAGGGAACCGCCTGTTATGGGGTACTGTAGGCAACCACCGCGGTGGTGGTAGCAGCCTAGGGAAACGAGAGCCTTTTCGTCCACTTTCTAAATGGCTGGTCGCAGTCGCTCCGGAAGCCCGGCTTTCTGCCGAGTCGTCACACACTTTGATGCTCCCTTTGCCGCGCGGCCGAGGTCCTCTTCGTTCCTCCAGCCTGCAGGGCTGTCTTTCGCAGCGCCTGACCGCGGGTGGGGACGGTCCAGAGTTTCCTAGTTAACGATAGTGGCTGAACTGGGACACGTAAAGACCGGACGGCCGGAGAAGAATGGCCACGTTCGACCGGACCACTCCCGACCCCGGGGCCCGGCAGGCGGAGGCCGGGACACCCCACGGCAGGGGGCGTGAGCATCGAAGGGAGGTGCGACGAGGGCTGGAGGCTGCGGCCACGGCCATGTGAGAGGGGCAGCCCCGCCGCGGCTCGGTGGACAGCAAGCGGGCGGGGGGCTGGGCCGGGGGGCGGGGTGCGCCCGGGGGCGGGGAGGGCCGAGCAGAGGGAGGGCCGATGCCGCCGCCGGCTCTTCCCGGTCGTGGGTTATGTAGAGCGGAGCGTGGAGCCCGCTCAGAGCCAGCGGGGAGCGCTCCGAGTTACAAGCAGCGCTGCGTTGCGGAGCCCGGTGCCCGAGTGACAGCCGCGGGGCGTGCAGGGCACGGGGACACGAGACCGCGAGAGCAGCTGCAAACCGTTGGGCTCTGCTCGCCTGCGCTTAGCGAGTCACCCCTTCTCGGCGCTTCTGCCCCGCACCCCACTCTCCCATCCTCTAGCAACTTGAGTCAAGTTGACAACTCCCGCGGCTGCCTGCCGGCCCGCGCCGTCTCCACTGTGCGCTCCTCCTCCAGGTCGAGAGGAAGCCGCCGCGCCGGCTCCGGGGACGCTCGGGCAAAGGTGGCTTGGCCATGAGAGCAGCGCGCGCCGCCTAACTCGTGGCTGTCACCTCCGCTGCAGCCGGACCGGTCGGGCGAGCGCTCCAGGGCAGTCGCTCCGATACAGGCGGGTGGCCGCCGGCAGGAGGCGCCGAGCCGGGCGTCTGCCGCAGCGGGCACAGCCCGGGGCCACCGCGCCAAGCCCCGGCGGGAGTGGCCCCGCGCAGGCAGGGAGCGGCGCCGCGCACTCCAGCCCGGCGGGCACCTTCTCGTTCTGGCCGTTCTGACAAGCGCCCCGGGGCCGGGAGCCCGGCTGCCCGGCGCGGGGTGGGCGCGTTCGCGGCTGCTGTTCGACTCGTGCGAGGCCCCGGGCGTCAAGATGAACATCGTGGTGGAGTTCTTCGTGGTCACTTTCAAAGTGCTCTGGGCGTTTGTGCTGGCCGCGGCGCGCTGGCTAGTGCGGCCCAAGGAGAAGAGCGTGGCGGGCCAGGTGTGCCTCATCACCGGCGCCGGCAGCGGCCTGGGCCGGCTCTTCGCTCTCGAGTTCGCCCGGCGCCGAGCGCTGCTGGTGCTCTGGGACATCAACACGCAGAGCAACGAGGAGACGGCGGGCATGGTGCGCCACATCTACCGGGACCTGGAGGCTGCCGATGCCGCGGCTCTGCAAGGTAACCCACGCCGGATCATTGTTGGGTCAAACCTTCTCTCTAGCTCTGCGCCCTTCGTCAGTGTGTGTGTTTGGGGGGTGGGGAGGATAGTCCGCAACTCCACTGCCACGGTCAACCCCGCTGTCGAGGAAAAGAATATCGCATCGGTCTCCCGGAAAGCAAGTGAAATTTGCCCCGTAATAAAAGAATGTGATCACCTCTGTATTGAAAATATGCGAAACCTGTAACTGACTGAGTTCGTCTCTTTGAGGCGACTGTGGTGTTCCCTAATAAGCCCACTGAGGGTAGGGGAGCTGAGAAAACTTGTTGCCACAGGTTTGGATTCTAAAATTTCTCCCTCGTGTTAGCGATGGGAAACTAGTATCTGGGAAGATGTTCTCGGACTGTATCTGTGTTTCTGTGGTCTGAACCGCACTAGAGTGGGAAAGGATTGATGATTTCAGTTAACTTTAGCCAAAGGAAAATTAACATTGTTTCTATTAGAGATAACTAAGTGCTTTAGTTACATACTCTAAGCATGATTGAAAAGATACCCACCTCTTGAGGGAAGTACTAGAAAGCTTTGAAAAGCTCTCCCATGTTTTTCGTAACCTCGGGAAATCTTCATTTCTGTATACTTATTAACTAAGCTGAATCTGAGACTTTTTTTTTTATATTTAAGCCAAAGTAAATACCATAAGGATAATGATTCTTGCTTTTTGACAGTATTTTTCATTTCCAGAAACAGTATTGAACTATGCTGAGAATTTAGGCTCCACCACCTTATCCATATCAATCATGTGTCACCAAAATCTTTGGCAGCTGCATTTTAGGTCAGAAAACTCAAGGTTGAAATGATTATATATTCACTAGCCGTGATTGTTGTTGTTGTTGAGTGCCGTGGAGTCGTTTCTGACTCATAGTATAGAATGCCGGAGGAGCTGCTTGTGAGTTTGAACTGCCGACCTTGCAGTTCAAACTGACCTTGAGGTTGAGTGCTTACTATGGGCGCCGGCCACAACCTAAAAGTGTTTTACAATGAAAAGGTCTTGGGTTTTAAAATTGTTTGTGTGTGTTCTGTAGTAAAATTGCATTGAATTTACCCTTAGGCTTGAAGTAAAATTGCAAAATTACCTGTAAGCTTAGGTGGGGTCAGCATCAAAGTTAGGATAAACCAGTGACCTCCATTTTTTTTTCATGAGAAACTTTACATTTGTTTCTTGAAATTGGATGGATTCAGATTATTAATTACAGTTTTGATTTTGAAGGTGCTCACATGAAACAGTAAGCACCTTGACCACTGTCCCCCACAAAAATGAGTGTGTACTGGGTGTGTTTGGGAAGGGGCGTACTCTGGGCTGAGAAAGTTTCTTGCCGGTATACCTGTCTTTAAGCTCCAGGAATCTGGTCCCATGTGGTCTGATTTATATTGTGCTTGTGACAATTAACACGATTTTCCTGTAAGCAAAGCTATCTGGTAAATTGCTGTAATTCCCAAATATTTTTAGGGGAGGGAGGCAGGCAACTGTAAATTTAGTCATTGGCAAGCCTTATGGTGTTAGAAATTTGAAGCTCGCTGTAGTACTTTTGTTGTGTGTGATATTTGCCCTTTCATTGCCGTGTGACTCACTTTCTGTACCCCCTTCTCTGTTCCATTTCTGCCTTCATCTGGTCTCCTGAGGACAGCTGGGGATGGTGAAGAAGAAATTCTGCCCCACTGTAACTTGCAGGTTTTTACCTACACCTGTGATGTGGGGAAGAGAGAGAATGTCTACCTGACGGCTGAAAGGGTCCGCAAGGAAGTTGGCGAGGTCTCCGTCCTGGTCAATAATGCTGGCGTGGTCTCTGGGCATCACCTTCTGGAATGTCCTGATGAGCTCATTGAGAGAACTATGATGGTCAATTGCCACGCACACTTCTGGGTAAATATAAACATCCTTGTTTTTATTGCTATTCCATCCTCAGGGAGAAGGCTGGGAAGGAGAGAGACTTCAGTACCCGTCTGAAAGCCACCTGTGTACTTTCATCACAGAGCTTCCTTCTAATTAACTGCCCCCCGTGGTGAATCACAATGTTTGCCAGTTACTATAAAATACTTGTTTTAGACCCCCCCCACCCCAGTTTTCCCCCCTCTTTTTCTTGAGAGGGCAGAGGACTGAACATTTTGAACATTTTGAAAGCCTGCCATAAAAATAACAAGAGGGAGCATAAAGCCCTGAATTTGTTTATTTTACTTTCTGTAAAGTTTGTAAAACATTGGTTATTCATATGAATCCCTAAAGTCAAAGTTTAGGCTTCCAAATTCTGTTCCAGCCACATTTCAGAAAGTGCCAGAGATTCAGAGCTCAGCATTTGTGGTCCACTAGGAGGGGTCAGGCCACCCTGACAGTCGCTTAATATCCATTGAGCCTCCACAAGGTCCATGGCATTGTCCTCTTAAAACATCAAGAATTTTGCAGCTGAGAAGATGCCTCTCCGGTGACAGTGATTGTACACTTGGGTGAGTCGTGAAACCTGGTGAGCTGGGATTTAAGCCCCTCAGACTCTAACCATGAGAACTCCTGCTGTAGCATCTGGGGCTAAGGGATAGCTGAGTGACTCCTACTACTTTGAGGGGAAGACTAACCCCCATTTTTCCATTGAACTTCCTGTTTCACAAGGGTGAGTGTGAAGATCTCTCTTGTAACATTGTCTATTATTGGTCCACTTTATGCTTTTCTTCTTCATAATATATTTCATCTTTACTTTTGTAGACAGATAGGATCCAAAGAAGAAAGAGAGTAAAGAGATACATGATTTTTCCATAGGCAGATTAATTAGCCTTCTAATAGAACACAACAAAGAACTGTTTCTCCTAAATAGGTCACATTAAACCTCGT